AGTCAATGTTAGGATTTTTTATTGTGTCGAAACCAAGTCGTGATATAGTGACTACATACCATTGCACATAGCAATATGAAACTGTTCTTATGTGTAATAAAAAAGGGTTACCTTATTGTTAATTGATTCTTTTAATTCACCCTTGACAAGTAGTGACTGAATATTGACTTTGTCAATCCTTTGCTAAGCCGATGCAAATATGTCACCTGTCGAAGCCCATCAGTGCTACATATCCTGTTTTTGATTATGTATAAGTATGGTTGCTCTATTTGATATCATTTTTCTGTTATTTCATTGCTTGCATTTTTATTGTGTTGTCATGTTAATGTTTACAGCTTGAGTTCGGTTATTTATAACTACTGAGCTGAGGTGGCTCTAGAGATGGGTGAGTGAAAAAGTCGGGGTCCCGCTTAGTCCTAACATGAGGGCGCAGGCAAATCTTTGCCTCAAGTTACCCAGTGTTCTGGTAAAAGCGTACGGTGTGTTCGCGTTGTGCCTTAGTACTTATCCTTCGTGTGTGAAATGCTCTTAACTCCAAGTAATTAAAATAAAAGCAAATTGTGCTGTATTGATTACGAGGATAGGTGTTTTGTATACATTTTAAAAATTTTATTTTCAGAAAATTTTAAAGGGGGTACTGTAACAGGAACCACTTAAAGCTGCAATGTCACATTTTATTAAAAATGGTCTTTAGAGAAACGTCAACTATTGATTTCTTACAACGTGAAGTTGCAGGAGGACAAGCTCTCCGTTTCGATACCCAAAACTCCAGATCTACCAGAAGATGAAACAGAGATCGAGAACTTAGTAGCTCGATGATCTGCGGGATTCAAATTTCCATCTCATTCCGCAGATGAAGAAGAGTCTACGCATTCGGAAAATTAAGGATTCTAGGGTTTTGCAAACGATGATGAAGAGGACAACTCTGAGTGGCAGGAAACCAACGACGACATGCTCGAGGAGGGTGCAGTGGGGCCGAGCTGGTGGCTGCTCGGATAGTTAAGTAAAAATTTCCATTAAATGTTCCTTAAGTTTCCCGTTTTTAATTTATGATACAAACTCAATTCTGCGATTATTGGAAATAAAAAATTCCCAGGTCCTATGAGATAACTTGAATTATATTATACACATGATGTCCCGATTACCATTTGAGATATTCAGAGGGAAATTACATTAACAGCACTTAATTTTACACTACAAGGTGGCTCGCTCTCATCTTCGGCATTGTTTCAACCTAGAGAAATAATATATTCTGCTTATGAAGTAGAAAAAAGAAAGTATAATACATCTATATGGTGCATTTGTGTATCGTATTTAAATACTGAACTTTACGCAGTAATACCGCACATGTAGTTATCATTTTTCCAACATCCCTCGTCTACCTACAGATGTGTAAATTTTAGGCCTGATTATACTTTGGGTGGAAAAGGCACCTATTACGTAATATAAAACTTGATTTTTTTCAAAGCATTCTACTATTTAACCCGAAATCGTTACGGAAGAAAGAAACATGAAATAGTTAATGATAGTTATTTATATAGATTGCCGTTCATGTGAAAGGGCAGCTGCAGCCATTAGCGCTATCTCTACCATTTGTTGTTACACCCCGCATTCAAGCTCATCAACTCCGAAATGTCTTCATTTTCGCAAAAAATATTCGTTTGATAACGGCTGCGGCGGCGGCGTCGAATTACCTTCAATATATCGAACGAAACCGGTTGCTATTTCGAGCAGCACGCGTTGCTATAAATATTTGTGCATGCACCTACCTTAAATTATTCACACCCACGTTTATTATAACAGAAGATTAACTTTTAATCCGACCTTAAACGAGCGAGGCATGTCCATAAACTTAAAATTTCTCGAGGTGTGGCCGATATTATCTGAAATAAATCCATTTTGAGTAAAGTGTTAACATGTAATCGCGTAGGTAGTTAGTTAAATCATTCTGAGCTTTCAAGTTTTGAGATATCTTGCCTTATTAAAATTAATTTCAATATTTATATGAAATTTGAAAGTTCAGTACAGTGGAAGTTAAGATACTAAGTTCGCTGTTGGCAAGAAGAGGTAGAATAGTTTGGTTTCTGCATAATTCATGTTGTGTGCTATCTTCCACAGATAAGCCATTGTTGTTACAAGTTCGGTTCCCGTCTCTCCCTACAAATCTCGAGAGTATTTTTCACCAAGTTCCTGCGGTATCATGTTATCAAAATATAAGGTAAAGATTGCCAAGTTTCGCTTTCGTACTAATTATTAAACACTTTCTATTATTATTTCTTAGGATATTTCAAATAAGGAAACAATTTCTTAGTTTGATATGAATATTTTAGGACCTTTTATTTTATTATACTTACGGCCATCATTGACTTCTATTTATTAGATCTTGAAGGTTAATAGTTTATTACCAAATTCGTATGTATTTATTGCGTATGATTTTGTAAGTAGTTTCGTGTTTTGCTTTGTAGTTATTAGGCGCGTTACCTAAAAATGATTGACGTTGACCCTCGTTAAAATGCGAACACGAAAAGATAAGAACAACGCGTGAATTCATACTCTGTGTTTCCTATGCTAATTTCAAAATTTGTTGCATATCTTTGAAACGAAAATTATTAAAGCTGAGGCTATAAGTAATTCTGTTTTTACCGCATTTTCCAAAAGGAGAATGAACGCTATTGTCCGTACTTTGTCCGTCTGTTCGTCTGTCTGCACCACTATTAGTTCTCCAGTTTAAGCTTTATCGTTGTGGTTTCGTTGTTATACGATGTAGCGTAGCCCCGACACCAGAACGACAAAAGATTTTTTGGATGAGTCACTTCCTTCCCGAGTTATTACTGATCAAGTGTGGGAAAATGCGCTTTCGTGGGACCTCGCGAGTGACCACATCTATAGCAGTTATATTTTGAATCCTAAGGATAAGCCTAGTCTACCCAAATATATTAGGTTGAGTTTTTATTATTTTAAATAATTAATATATGTAATACAGAATACTCTGGTAGAACTGCCATTCCTTGGTTTGATTTACCTTCTATTACTTGGGTGTAAAAACAGAGAATACAATACTCTTCAAATCTTGATTTTGTAACCAGGGCGCCAGCATCTTAGGCTTTTTGTATTCAAAATCGTTTTTGTTCTACCTCGGAAACAACAGTCACAATTAAGAATAAAATTGAAGTTAAAGAGAATGACACTAACTAAATAGTGGGTTCTTATATTGTTTTCGCTTTTTTCCTTCGCTTACAAAAAAAGTATTTTGAAATTTATTTTCAAGAAAGTTAAAGTGAACGTGTTATACGTTTGATGATGTATGACAGATCGACAAATCAACTACTTATTTTAAGCAACATTAGCTGACCTCATTCAAACATTACACAATTGTCTCAACTCCAATACTCCACCTAGACTGGAGCAACCCAGACCAGTAATTGTCACTAGATATTCGATTCTATGCCTGGGTAAGGATGTTATCAGGATATCCGTGTCCATTGACCCCAATGGACAGCAGATACAGATCCTTCCGTCATCTGATCTCGGGTGAAGTGGATTCTAGCTGCGACGTGCTATCTTCAGACGGCTCTGGTGTAACGTTTAGTTTAGTTTATGTGTAAGAATTGGAGCAGTGTAGGAATTTTGCTCAAAGTAGGAATTTTGGAATTTTAAAGGGGGTACTGTAACAGGAACCATTTAAAGCTGCAATGTCACATTTTATTAAGAATGTGATGGTTTACATAATTTAGGCCTTTTTCGAAAGAATAGTTCCAAACGAGTTTTTTAAAATAAAAAGTAGCATTGTTTGACGTAACCAACCAAGAATTTTGGTTCGCTCGTGTCTTCGTTAGTTTTCTGAATTGGGATGATTCGAGTCTTTGTAGAGGGTAAGACCGCTTGAAGAAAGCAGTTGGGGATGTCTTGATCCCGCTTGCGGGATTTGACCAATTACCTACATCCAATTATGTAGATTTGGATTTTGGAACCACGCTGTATTTTTTTGGTTACCGGACAGGTAACAAAGCGATTTAGTGAATTTAATTTTATACATCCGTTTCTATAAGAAGGTGAGAACCGTTCTGATATTGTCTCTGTCTGTTTCGATGTTACATTTGGGGTATATTGGTTTCGGCCCGTGTGGTGCGTTCAGTAAAAGCTGGATTGTGGTGCTAAGGGTCCCTGGTTCGAATACGGGTGCGGGCGTGGATATTCGTAAATGTATAGTGGGTTGGGTTGGTAGAGCAGCCTTGGCTGAAATCCCGCCCACTGAAAAATAAAATAAAATAAAATAAAATAAAATAAAATAAAATAAAATAAAATAAAATAAAATAAAATAAAATAAAATAAAATAAAATAAAATAAAATAAAATACTATAAAATAAAATAAAATATTTTTAACGGTGCCGATGGGATCCGGTAGGTCTAGTTTTACGTAACTGTAATCAGGGGAAAATCCTTACTATCCATTGAGAGCACCGTATAGAGTATGAACGAATTTGAATATGCATAGAGAAGCTGTCCGTTAACTGATCGCGAAAGATTGTGGTTGGAGGTAGACGTGTTTTGTCGATCAAGGTTACTAAAGTAGGAGTTCTTCGAGAAGTGTCTTTGGATTGGCGAGACCCTATAAGATTGAGCTACGTGTCGTACTTACTTTTGGTTCGTGCAAATTGCCGGTGATATTGACTAGTCACTTGTAAATTTTGGGGCGAGATTGGAAATTCACGTCAAACAGGGAATCTTTAATTGTTTGGCGAATTGGGTTCACAATCCCCGATGTTAATAATTAGTTGAAATAAGATTCACTTTCTGTGATTTCTCGGGTAATTTTAAATGTTGTGTTTTGTTGGCTGCAGCAATTTAGGCTGTACAGGTACCGGTAGATGTTGCAAGAAGGTGGGGTTTACTAATCTGTGTTGCGTGCTAGGGTTGTGCGCTGCTGTAGTAGCTATATCCCCTGCTATTTTGGATTTATTGTTGTATTTATTGTTCAGATTAAAACGCTATTTTTGAACTTCTTATATAATACTAGTTGTTTAGTAACAATAATTATTGAAATAATTCAGGTTCTTTATACACAGTACTAATGCAACCACCGTATTTCGAAAACCAATCCATGCGGTTTTAGTCTGATTAATTATTAACACATAATACAGGAGTGCTTCACGAAATTTCTTCCATATACTTTTTTCTTAATTCTTTCCTCAAAATCTTTCCGGACGCCGTTTTTGGAATATTGTCCGTAATTTGAATTCCTCCAACCAGATGTTTATAATTTGCGGCCCTTTCAGCGATGTACATATGAATATTGTCAATGTTAATATTACGATTAGGTCTTGGAATCACGTAGGCTGTAGGAGCTTCGCCGTACCGCTCGTGAGGTACTCCAAGTACTGCAGCTTCAAGAACGTCCGGATGCTCACGTAAGAGTCCCTCGAGCTCGGCCGGAGACACTTGGTACCCCTTCACCTTTATTAGTTCTTTTAATCGCTCAGTAACGAAAAAAAGTTTATTTTCGTCATAGTAGGCTAAATCTCCGGTTTTAAACCAGCCGTTCAGAAATGCGCCTTTATTTTCCTCCGGTCTGTTGTAATAACCTTTCATGACCTGTGGTCCTTTGACAAATAATTCCCCCGGTTCATTGGGAGATGTTATTATAATATCAGAGTTATCAGCTTTTCTTAGCATTACTGAGGTGTTGGACAATAATTCACCAACACTTCCGCGAGTTCCGAGCTTACGAGTCCGTATACTAGGCATAAATACCGCCGGCGATGTTTCTGTTAGTCCGTATCCTACAAAACCGCAATAATTTCATTAAAGTTCCACCAGTCACTAACCTTGATTGACAGCGACATTATTAGCCACCTTATGGCTGAGGTTTTCTAGGTCGCTTGCCGTTAAGGGACCTCCTCCTGCGAGAACAAACCGCACGGATTCTAGATACTCTTTTTTAACTAACGGTTCCTTCGCCATGAAATTAACTGCAGAACTAAGGCAATGCAAGTCTGAGCTATCGTACACTAGAGCTATGCTCACCTATTGTAGGGACTAGCATCAGTATGTGCGGTTGATGACGGGCGAGCAACTCTACAAACGGGTGGGCATCAAATTTGGGCATGGTCACCATCTTACACATCTTATGCAGGTGTACAAGGAGAACTGATGAAAATCCGAATATATGGAAAATGGGGACAATGACGGGTACAACATCTTGCCTTTCAGCTGCGAGATAAAAATGAATTAACAGTCCAGATTTTTGACTTACTTATACCGGTTGCCTCTTGAAACATGCGCACTCGCAGATCACTACTTTGCATCACGTTTGAGATTATGTTCCGATGTGTAAGCTCTACCCCCTTTGGCAAACCAGTTGTACCACTAGAATAGAAAAGTAGAGCGGTATCGTTTGAATCGGCCGATGGGAAGTCTTGTATATCTGTTTTGGTGTTAACGAACTCCCTCATATCAATCGCACCCTCTGCTACCGTATCTGCCTCCTACAAAATTTATATTTTTTAAAACTACACAGACCAACGTCGAAGACAATTACTCTCATCTTAATTCCAATGATGGGTACGCGCCTATGTGTAAGTTTCATCGAAGCTTGTGCTTTTGGTACATGTTCCATAAGTGTAAAAAGAGCTTTTACGTTGGTATCTTCTAATTGTACGCTTATTTCGGCTGAAAAGGAAAGAAAAATGACATAGCTTTTTATTTTGGACTTGCATAACAAAACCGTGTAGCGATAAATCTTATTTACAAAGTTGTTGTGTAAGTTATTTGATTATTTTGATCCTCAATACTCGAGCAGGGCGATTTTTATCGGCCGGGTAAATTCGATGTAAAAATAAAACGTGAAAACTTAAATTTTAATAGTCACAAAGTTGGTAGTAACCAGTTGACAGTAATACAACGTATTAAATGTCACGGGTCAAGGACGCGTGCTAATTAAAGTTAACAAAGTAATAAACTTTCAATAATACGAAATATAATATTGTTGCAAGATAGAAAACAAGTCAGCGTAGTCGTTGAACGATTACTAGAGAACTACAATAGCATGAAAGAACATTAGATTTTGTTTTAGATTACTATTAAATAAAGAACGCAAATTGGAATGCATTTTGTATTATATTAACATATTTCTTCCTAGGAGTTTAAAAACTGGTTGGCGGAGCAGCGAATGTGCGCTAGAAGTTTGAAAGGCGAAGGAGTGTTTGAGGTGTCACCAAATGTACGTGTTTTGTCACGCTTAGATGAGTTACTCTCATAGTTCGATGTACCAGGGGACGAACCCGAGAGCCAGTCTTCAGGAATGGAACCGTGGGTCTAGGGTATTCGCGACATTAAAAGTTTTTTGTTTTAGAGAAGTAGGCCACCAGAAATGTTGAAGATCCTGGCGATGTAGTGGTGATGATTAAATATTTAAGTGGTGCAGGATTGATTGTATTTAATATTTTATACGGGTTTCAGGTTCTTTCAGATCACTCCGCTTTACGGTAATTAGTCCAACATTAGGGTGGGTTCTGCCCCGGTGTCTAGGTTATAGTATGATGATCGTGAAAATTCAGTAACGATACTTTTTCGGTAAAACCAGCGTGTGGTAGATTTCGTATCTGTAACTATCGAAAAATTATAAACATTAAGAGCGGACTTTTCCAGAGAATAAATCAGAACTGTAGAGTGATAGTTTCAATCATTGAAAAAATTTCACTTCTAAAGTAAAAATTTCAGAAGAAACATTTCAGTGTTGGTGTTTGACACGAAACTTGTTGGCCTTGCAATTGTATTGCGGGAGCGAAAAGCTGCTTGAAATCTTATGATAGGCATAGACTCGGTGAATTGCATAAGAAGATACAATCCTACAAAAAATAAAACTTTAGTATAGTATTCCTTCCGAAGGCTCAGGTTTCGTACTGTATTATTCAGCCCTGGCCCTAATAACACAATAAGAACAATATAACTTCAAAAAAGTAATAATGCGTTTATACTCCACAACGTCGCACCATGATATAATTGTCACACTTTTAATACAAAATCACCTATTAGAAAATAAAACCGAATATACGTACACGGGCAAACAATCAAACGAGCTTATATGAACTTTGCCACCATCAAGCTGAGGATAATAATGCGTGAGATGTTCGCGTCAACAGATCACACAATATCGTGTCCAGGAATTATTATGTTTTGGATTTGTACTTGGTGACACAATCACACCGGTCACATTTTAAATCCTCGCCAGATCCATGTCTTAACAAATTTTGATGAAACCGCTCTGGGCACACTCTAATTCCTAGGTGACTATGAATGTTAATAAATTTTATAATTAGATTTGTGATTCGTTGCATAGTCACACTGGACACATTTTAAATTCTTGGTATTTTAATGTGTTAAAATGCTACTGCGCATGTGTTGTGTTCTACTTACCGTGCAAAGTATATCTCTGTCTGTGCATTGGCACAGATGCTCTTTATTGAAAGTAAATGGGAAGCTATATCCACGAGGGAGGGCCATCATAAATTATCAGCACTTTTTTAAAATATTATTTAAACAATGTAGGGTTTAACCAAGTACATTACTTTTGTACATATAGTCCCCTCCCTTTTCAATGCATTTTGTTCAGTGCCCCACAAGCTTGCGTATTCCTTTATTTCTTTATTGCCGGTATAGCAAATCGACGACCTCCTAGAAAATCTTTGAGTAGCCCAAAGAGATGAAAATCTGTTGGCGCGAGATCAAGGCTGTAGAGAGGGTGTTCAAACACCTCAAATCTCCTCATCAGGTTAGTGGTAGGGGTTGACGGCCGTCCTGCTCCCTTTTCATTTTTCAGGTTTGTTCGGCCACTTTTAAATTTCTTATCCACTCGTATAAACTTCTACGCGATAGAGCACTATAACATATTGTGTGCAAAGGCTATAGAAAATTTTGACCCCTGGCACACCTTCTGACCACAGAAATGCGACCACCACTCTTTCTTGAGTTTTGGTGCACACTATCAGCGGAGCGGGCATGTTTATCCTGTCACAGCAACAAGGAAACTGATGCCAACAATTACACGCCGTTCAGGGGACCACCGAAGAACTAACTCGAAGCACGCATGCGCAGAAGGCAATGTGGCAAACCTAAACATGTGTATGGAAAAAGTGCGGATAGTTTTTGGCTGACCAATGTATGTATACCGGGTGGTGCACGGTAAGTAGGAACATAGGAATTTAAAATGGGAAATTAGTTTTATGCGATATCCTGCCCTCCTGTAAATTTTACAGAAAAAACTGTAGTTTGTAGTTTAAAGTTGTTCCGAATTAAAAGGTGCATACCGAGGTGCATACAAAACTGTTTTTACATGTTTTATTAAGCTGTTGGTATACCCGCAAATTTAAAAATAAATTTCAACATTTCTGATATTAGTAGCAATAGCCATGACTTTTGTTGTTTTATGAATTTGAGGGTATACCAAAAGCTTAATAAAACATGTAAAAACAGTTTTGTATGCACCTTTTAATTCTGAACAACTTTTTGGCCAATATGAAGTTGATGCAGTGTGTTTGTATTATGATCACAAAGGAAAATTCGTGCAATATTCTTAGGGAAATAAGATTTATACAACTGTGCAATTTCAAATTATGCTCGCTACGCTATACGAGTTACGTGTTATTGAACGTTATTGTAAAGTATTAGAACTACGCGAGTGTTTCTGTTATGATATACTAATAGTACGTAGTTCCTTCGAATTAGAAATGTGAATTAGCCACCTTTCGGCATGGGCACAATCGGTGGGGGTTTCATTTTGAAATTATAGTGCTTAAATGTAGTTGTAAGCTACATGTGTACAGGGTGGCCAACTAAGAATGCGAGGTACTGTATCTGGGAACCTGTTCATCGTAGAGGCTTGCGGTAAAAAAATTTATTACTAAAACGGCCACGAGAAAAACCTGGAAAATATTTTTAAGTTTGTGCAATGGCCGCTAGGGGGCGTAACTGCAATCTGGGATCTAAAAAAGTGATTTGTCTGTGAATTCCGCTATATTAACCTAACAAAAAATGTCCGGTCTGACAATAATCTGAACCTTTTTTGTTGTTTGAAAATTTTTCTTGTATCTCTAAAAATGAAGTGGTGGGGGGCATTCAAAGGTTTCCGTAAAGAACACCCTGTATCTTCGAAACGGCTGAGCCGATTTAAACAAACTCGGGTTAGTTCAAAAGATCTATTCTTCAGCTACAAATATTATACTATTTGAAGTTTTGTTAGTTTCACATATCACCGGTTGAGGAATTTTTTCCATTCCGACAGAAATAGTTAATTTTCTCAAAAAAATTAAATGCATTGGTTCGATTTTTTTTTCATGAAAAGGTAGCTAAATGATGCCTAAACAAGCTCGCGTTTTAGAAAATTCCATGGCATCGCAGATTATTGAAAAAGATGCGGGTTTTATTTTTCCAATTTTCCGTCTTTATTATGCAAAAAATTGAAAACTAATACGGTTGATTGGAGTAAAAAATTTTGTTTTACAAAAAACTTTAATACATTTTTGCTCTAAAGTAATTTGGGGAGCCAAAAATCGCATGTTATGAATTTTACATTAAAATCCCTATGATGCGTTACGCAAGTCACCACCCTGTATAAGAATTGCCTTTTTTTGCATTGTCACCTCACTATTATGTAAATTACATATAATAACTTATTTAAGATTAGAATATAAAAACCAAGAAAACCAAGATATTTCGAAAACTATCAGAGATAGGTATAGATAGAACATTATTATCACAAGTTGCAGGTTTTTGGAGGAGCTAAAAGATGGCAGAAAAATATACAGGGTGTTCCATTTAAAAAAGTGAGATTTTTTAATATGAAGTTTTGCAAATTTGGATCTACAAAAAAACACCCTATAAGCTATTTTTTAATGTTTCATAGTAGATGTATTTATTTAACTTTTATTTAACCCAGGATAACAGATTTAAAACCTGGAATCAAAATTTAAAAATAATTTGGACAATATACTGACGCTTGCAAATACCCAATTTTTCTTGCAAATTGAATTATCTTTAAAACTACTAGTTCTTCGGATATTAACTATATAATAAAAAAGACGTACAATTACACATAGAATTCAAAAATGCATTCAAATATACAGGGGATTCTACTTAAAAAAATGTACCATTTTGGCGCCCTACTTTGTGAGCGCGCCCTGTATAATTCCAAATATTTTTAAAATGTAGAGAATATTCAACCATATCATAATACAAAAGCACTCTATCGAATCTTATCTTCAAGGCATTAAGTTACTCCGCGCAATCGTTGACTCACCCTGTACATTGCAAAGGTACAGATGTTGTGCCTGCAGAACATATAATGCTGTGGTAAACGCCGAACCCTGCATCCGCACCCTGTATGCATCAAGCATGTTAAGAAGACGAATCCATCATGTCTTCTACACAAAAGATGTATATTGATAAAAACAATTTACATGTTTATTGCTAAATGTTCATTGCATATTCATTCGATGATAGTTTGTGCTCGTAATAGGAGTTGTATGAAAATACTTGTATCTTAAAAATTATAATGATTTTTATCTTATTATATGTTTGATATTATTTTAAGCAGTAAAACTACTAAATTTCAGATTTCATACCAGCTTGAGTTATTTTTTACCTACCATATCTGTGGATATCAATTTCGATACAAAAATGTATTAGGCTAAGTCGGATTATTTTGATCAGCTGTACCACCTCCAGCTTTACTTACTTGGAGTATAAATAGGATTAATCGTTGTAACCTTTAAACTTGCCATTAAACTACCAAACACGCAAATCGGATAATCTGGCATATTGGGAAGTAATACAGCAACGACGTCACCAGGATTCAACTTTAACTTCTGTCGCAGTGCTCCACTCAGGTTTCTGGACTTACAGAGTACCTCGTCGAAGGTAAACTTCTTTTCAGTAAGAGAACATTCCTTTTCAAATTCTAAATTAGGTACAAAATACATGATTAACATTCAAACACTTACCACTGCGATTTTGTTAGGATACGTCAGAAAATTTTCAAAAATGTATTCTGGTATTGTAGTATTTGGGATGTCTATATCTGGAAAGTCAGATCGGATTACTCCGGCAATGTCTCTTTTTGAGGACAAGTATGTAAATTGTTGTTTGATAAGGCTATTCTTCTTAGATGTTTGTGAACGAATTGCTTTGCGGGCGAGAAACATGCTGTAACAAAGTTCAATAACAACTAAACGTTAATTAGGTACAAAGGAATATTTTATTGCATAATGTGTTATCCATTTTGCGCTTGGGAAAGTAACGTTAAAAAAACAGATTAAGCATTCAGATTATTATGGAATTTTAATTTGGCTTTATTGTTTGGATCTTGCTATTGTATGTAGAACTTCTTACAGGACTCGACCCTCTTGAGCTACTTTTCAATGACTTTTTAGCGCATTTCCACAAAAATAAAAAAAAATGCGCTATTGTGGCCACTTTGTCCGTCCGTCCGTCCGCCCGTCCGTCCGTCCGCTCGTTTTGCGACGCTACTAGTTCTTTATCTTAAGAGCTATTGTTCTACTTTTTTCGCTATTTGTTTCGTTATGGTGTCGAGTCTTGTACCAAGGAAGGAATTTTTTCTGTACCGCTTACAAAAAAAGTTATTGTAAAAAAAACAAAAAACCGTTTTTTTACATATTCCATAAATTTACACTTTTGCCGTTTATTAACGATCCTAGAGATCGTTTATAATTTTGCATTGCTATCTGTCGTCTGCATGCTGGTCTGTCCGTCTGTTCCTTTGTCTGTCTGTCCATCCATCTGTCCGTGTGAATGATAACTTTGTTTAGAAATGTTCGATCGCTTTTACATCTCCGTTAGTTATGAACTGAATTGCATGAAATTCAATATGGGCATAGCTTTAGCCATATAATACGCATGCCAAAATTTGAGTCGAATATATTTAAAATTCACAGTGCCCTTTTCGCATCTCGACCATTTGTAAACCGAATTGCAAACTTTTTTAATTATAAAAGTATTTGAATGAAATTTGATACATAGGCACTTGTAATAAAGGAAAATCAAACGCCAATTTCAAAATTTGGTTTTGCGCATGCGCAGTGCCAACTTTTTTATTTATGGAAGAATTTAAACGAAATTTAATACATAGGCACTTGGGATAAAAGAAAATCAAACGCCAATTTCAAAATTTGGTTTTGCGCATGCGCAGTGCCAACTTTTTTTATTTATGGAAGAATTTAAACGAAATTTGATACATAGGCACTTGGGATAAAGGAAAATCAAACGCCAGTTTCAAAATTTGGCTTTGCGCATGCGCAGTGCCAACTTTTTATTTATGGAAGAATTTAAATGAAATGTGATACATAGGCACTTGGAATAAAGGATCATCGAGCGCCAGTCTCAAAATTTTCTTTTGCGCATGCGCAGTGCCAACTTTTTTATCTATGGCACTATTTAAGTGAAATTTGATACTTAGGCGCTTGGAAAATCTAACATTAGTTTTAAAATTTAGGTTTGCGCATGCGCAGTTCCAACTTTCTTATTTAGAAAAGCATTGAAATGAAATTCTTCTCATAAACTGAAATTGAAGTAACACGTCAAAAATGGATTGCCCATGTGCAACGCTATCTTTCACATTTGTGGCCGGATTTTTACGATTTTAACAGAAGTTGCATCTTATAAATGGGAAATGAATGCAAGTGGAAATGCGCTTTATGTAAATCGTTTACGATCACTTTTTAACTTGTTGTCCCATTCCGGGCGCTCACTTGGCTATAACATCACGAATGTTCACCTTCAATTGATCAAGAGTTTGTAGATTGATTGTTCGCGTAAACCCGATCTTTTCTATACTAAATAATTTTTAATTCTGCAAATAGCACCTTTAAATTGATTAATTTTACTATACCCCCACAAAAAGAAATCGAGAGGTGTTAAATCGCAGGATCTTGGAGGTCATACATTACTCAATCTCGAAAATGTCTGAGGATCCTTCGATATTTCGTTGTATCGGTTTATTTTGAACAGTCTTGTGACGAACGATAGATGGCTACTGGGGTTCACATCACAGTTATCCAATAGTTGTAAGGGGTTGTACACTAATCTTGTTAAACACTATAACTCTGTGGCTCCCTCCGCTGGAAGCTAGTTGATAAATTTTAGTTTAGAAATCCGAAGCGAGTGCGGGAGCGATAAATTTAGAACGCTACAATTTCTTCAAATGATAAAGGAGTCAAAAGGTGCCACGGATTACATAATCAGAACTCAGCGAAAATAATAAAAAAAATCAACATACCTTACTTTGATGTTGAGATGAATTGGTCAACCAGACTATCTTCTTTGCTTGGTATGTACGATTTAGATACCTAATTACCTACGGAGGCAAAACTAGAAAACATTCGATGAACTAAAGCATAATGGGGTACGCATTTTACATGGTAACGTTTTTTGGACAAATGTATTGTATTATCCATATTTGTAAAATGAATGATCAGCATGATAAGATAAGAAATAGAAACAGATAAAATTATGTCATGAAGTACCTACCTTGAGAATTGCTCGATGAAACTAAACACGTTATACCTAATTCTAACTTGGTGGTCTTCGACATACACAAATGTATTTGTGTGAAAACAATTAGGCAGTGGCGTAACTAGGTAAGTGCCAAAGGTGCCACGGCACCGCGCTCTGAAAGGGGGAGGGCGCGCCGGAGGCGCTGAAGCACCGAGGGCACTGTCGGGATGGGCAGTACGTGGTGTACGGTATAGGCCAGTCATAAAAGACAAGAACGGCAGTTAAATTCTAATACTTTGCTAAAGTCGACTACAGGGTACACTGAAATATAATTAAAACTAAATTTACGCTCCTTTAGGATGAACCGAACATTGTTAAAAAATGAAAAAAATTATCAAAGTCTTCGTGTGAGGTACAAGGAATTTCAGCACATTTTTGTGTGGCAGATCAGTACTTTAATTAGCCACTTTTGACTCCACCATCAGTAACATCTTGTCGAGGGCTACCACATTTGACCAGCACCTTATTCTAAGACGCGATCATTTCTACGACTTGTACCCTATGTCATAGCTAAATTTGACGCGAGAATTGGAAACATTATAAATAAATGTATTTCTATTCTTCGTTGAGTGCAAGATTTCATTATTCAAAGCATTTTTCTAAAATTTAAGTAGTGCCGTGCTTTTAAAATTTCGTGTAAAGTTTCTCTCGAACATGACACAGTGTTTTATTCATTAGTGCTCAATGGTAAGTGATAAGGCGCCAAAATTTGGTAGGGCGCCAAAACCTGATCCGGCGCCGCTTTGAAAAATACCTAGTTACGCCACTGCAATTAGGTATAGGCACATTATAAAATACTTATTGGTCATTAACATACTCTTGCAAAATAAGGAGAAATCAAGGCCAGTTCAATACAAACTATAAGTAAGGCATTACCAGGTCATATTTGGTAATATTCGAGGTAATCTCTCACGAAAATTAGTTTTTATCTGGTACTTAATCTTTATTTCCCACTATCTGAAATCAGAGTATGCCATTTCCACGAACATCAACTATCAAATTCGGCGCACACGTAATACACGCTAAATTATGTGGGTGACATGAAAAGCGACAGTTGAAAAGAAAGTCATAATTACCGGGTCACAATCACAAATTAACAATTTGCACAACCAACTCCTGTTTCTTACATGGAATTCGCTCATCCGCCTTTACAAGAAATTCATGGCACAGAATAGAATCGAGAGTATGATTAAAAACCATCACACACAGACATCTTGTAAGTACCATAGTAGTGAGGTAATCGGAGGGTTTCGCTTGCGACTGTGTAAAGCGATGATAAGGACTCATGGTGCTGATTGAAAGGCTCTCCATGGGGATCACGCGGGAGTCTGCACAAACTCGAGTTGTGCCCACGCCAAAGATACATTTTTGTTGTGGCATTGGGACACTGTAGGTATAAGCTGATTCATGATGTTCTCGGTACAAGGGGATATAAATAAATGCGCTAATTGTAAAATGATCTGCGTAAATACATGATAAATCTTTGATAAGTACTTTGCATAATTGTAAATATTTTTGTTTAGTGTTTGTTTTGAATTTAAAATGTCTCAATTGCAGAAGCGGAATTCAAAAATTTAATTTCAATCGCTCGAGTACTGTACGCCTCTGGTGAAGGTTCGCCAAATATCTTCCTTTATAGTTATTGACACGTTATCATTGGGTGTAACCACGGTCGTAATATTTGTTTCTTTAGCTACATCCGGTTATGGATCATCAGGAACGGTGCACATAACGTATGCTCTAAAAGTTTTGGCACAGAATAATTTTATCGGTTTTTTTAAATGAAGAAATTTATTTAAACCCTATAGCTAGTCATCATAAATTACAACTCAATACTTACGTAAACTATGCTATAGAATTATGTGTAGCGGCCCATTCTCCTGTACCAGGCGCAAATTTCTTTGAATGTCTCTCATTAGGTTCTGGACGGAATTCAATTTCTCCCAGTTTTTCGTAAATTCGCCGTCTTATGACCATTTGCACCGACAAGTTTAACTGGAGCCTAGCTTCAGCGTAGCTTTTAGTCAATAATCGTTGTCATGAATTTTAAGCTACGCTTAAGCTAAGCTCAGCTTACATTTTTACGGTGCATACGGCGGGTCCGTGAAGTTAGCAGAACATTGACGGCACAAATGTCGAGTCTAGGTGGATTGGTTAGTGCTACGTTTGTGCCGTTAAAAGTTTGCCAGCAAAACATACCGTTTGGAAATTATTTCGATTTTTAGAAGTTCTGCTAATAGGCCAGTCATTGAGGATTTTTACCTGGAAATAACTCTGGAAGGACTGAAATTTTGTATGCTTGAGTGGTAGAACTAAAATTCATAAAATGCACAATTCTAAACTTGCCGCCGGGGCCGTCAAAAGCGGTTTTCCGCCGATATCTCCAAAACTGTACATTTTACGAGAAAATACGTGGTGAGCAAAATTAAAGAGACGAAAATGTAGATAGCATGTTTTCACTAAAGTTAGCCCACACGCAGAAAAGCAGAAATTTTTAATAACCAGATGGCGGATATTTTATCCAAATAATTCATTAATCTTTTAATTAATTAATCAAATTGATTAATCAATTGGTCTATGTTCAATTAATTTTAAGATTTTATTTTAGTCGTCGCCATCCTCAATGGTGATAGACATGTCAATTGTCAAATTCTCTTAGTTAAATCAATGAGTTATATTGTTATATTCAATCCGTTTAAGTCAACATTATTTGTTTGGTTTGTGATTATTTATGTTAATTTTACGTTAAGAGCGCCATACCTATACCACGTGACCTTGCACGTGACTATTGATATGCAGCTCTAACCACACCATCACGCTCCCACGCAAGAACACCATGCACCACTGTTTCTCTTTCTATCCCTAATGACGCCCACTTAGCACTTACTTTTGGTAACCTTCGTCGCTTGAAAGGGAAATTTCTTTTTTCCATTAATAATAATAATATACTGCATTGAAGTTATTGTTTTATGGACTAAAATCTCTAAAATAAATTACTATAGCATGGAATGGTCAGAATCTACACTTTCCATGATAGACTATGAATTAGAAATGACAGTAAAAAAATTTCAGGTAATTCTTTCAAAGCATTTGCCCGTTATTTGCAAAATCCCATTACCTTCGGTGTAAAGTCCTCTTAAGTACGGCTATTTTGATTTGATGTTCAATGCTGTAATCCACCGCCAAAAAAACCTTACGGTTTGGATTCCCGTTTCAATCTTTTAAATGAGTATTTGAAGTTGTTCTTTAATCAATTTCAGTATCAATATAAAAAAATGTGTTTTTCTACTTCCATTCGTGAAATGAAATTTCACATATCGATATTAATGTGTAAAGCGAAATATTTAATACCGATGCGTGAAATGCAATGCAATTGTTATGGGATTTATTTCACGCATCGCTGCCATAAGAGCGTACACACTTTTCGACATCGGCATTGTTATGGCGTAGTGTGCTTTGGCTGCAATTCTGACGTTTTGTTATTAGACGCTAGATTTACTACTGTCAATCGTAAGTTCATTATTGTAGCTTTAAGAGACATTTTCAGCACATTAATCTATAAAATTTAGCAGCTATATGATGGATACCGATTTGCCAGGCACCCCGCCTAAAATCACGGCTATAGCCAACCAAGCGAGCACCGCCCTACTACCAGTTAAGTCTTTCACCATATATGAGAACACGTACCAGAAATTTATGGAATGGAGGCATCAAAATAACATTCATTCTTTCTCCGAGAATGTTATTTTAACTTACTTATCTGAGTTATCAAAAAACTTTAAATCTTCAACACTTTGGAGTAGTTATTCGATGTTGAAGAGTACTCTCAGTGTCAAGCAAAACATAAATATTGGTGAATATCCTAAAGTACGCGCCTATTTAAAAAGAAAAAATGAAGGATACAGTCCAAAAAAGTCAAGAGTTTTGGAAAAAGAACAAATTTTGAAGTTTATAAAGGAGGCACCTGATGAAACATTTTTACTGGCTAAAGTAAGTTGTTATAAATGAATCTTTAAATGTGTACTTGTTATGTTTCGTCTAGGTCATTTTAGTATTTGGATTGGCTGGTGCTCTCAGAAGAGATGAAATTTACAAACTAAAGACAACCGACATCCAAGATATGGGAAATATCCTTATAGTGCATGTCCATGACACCAAGAACAAGATTTCAAGGAAATTCACCGTAACTGAACACTTGGAATTATATAAAAAATATGCGTCACTTCGTCCACAAAACTATCCCGAAACCAAGTTCTTTATTAATTTTCAAAGGGGAAAATGCACTCGTCAGGTGATTGGCATAAATAAAATTGGCAAAGTACCTTGCGAAATTGCGAAATATTTAAAATTGCCCAATTCTGAAGAGTACACCGGTCACTCTTTCAGAAGGTCTTCTGCTACATTACTAGTAGAAGCCGGCGGAGATTTACTTACTCTAAAAAAGCATGGAGGATGGAAATCTTCGACCGTCGCAGAAAGTTACGTAGAAAATTCACTCAACAAGAAAATTGAAGTTTCCAATAAAATATTGGCAGTCCAAAATAACACTGCTGCTAAAAGCACTGTAATGGAAAAACCATTAAGCGATTCAGCGAAGGTAGAAATTAGCAACCCGACAAATTGTACCATTACTATTAATAATTATTATAACAAAGAAAATTAACCAATGTTTAATTTGTCTGTGATGTTAGTTCAATAAAAAGTTACTCTGTTATATGTATGGTCGTAGAAAAAGTATAGTGTGTAACACGTGCGTGAAGGATTTTGTACACTCTCGTGGTTTGCAGCACTCGCTACGCTCGTGCTGCAAACTCCACGCTCGTGTACAAAATCTCACTTCACGCACTTATTGCACAATATACTATTTTTCAAAACTTAACTTTTCTGCACAGTAGCATCTGTTGAGACCCAGCACTTTCCTTTTATTGTTGTTACTTCTCATGCATCGCTTCGACTTTTATTGAGCGAAGTATCTAATCGATGTGGCAATTAACAATTAACTACCTACGTGGATGTTCAATTTGATTTATCGTTAAAATTTCACAAAAATTTGTCAACAAATAAAAAATTTTCTTTTGCACATGAGCGAAAGAAGCTTTTGATATGTTTGAGATAATCAATCGATTTGCCTCTAAGTTAAGGTTGCTAATGTTAAAATTTCAGTAAGATCTGCCCATAAGTAACAAAGTTACTTTAGCGCATGCGCAGAAAAATACGGCTTACCAGTTTGGAAATTAATATAGGTGCCGTCTCCACGCGGTAAGGACTGAAAAAATGTAAGCAATTTGTCCCATTCAATTTTGAGTTATCGTGTTAAAAACAACCCGGACAACGACAACGGACTTTTTTCTGTGATGAAAACAATACTTTACTTACCCATAGATAGGTGCGGAAAAGTAATATCATAGATGATATATGCGATTTATATACATTTTATATACTACTTTAAACCACAGTAGGCGATATGAAACAAAAGCTGATCTAGAAACTAAACTGTGTTGACATTGTAGCTGGCAACATTTTAACAGACAAAGAGTCTGGCACAAGAAAGTAAAAATAAAAAAATTATAGAAACTTGAGAACGAAATAAAAGATTGTTTTTCATAGCCTGTGACTTAAAGTAATAAAGTTAAAAAAAATCGCATAGAAAACCAATATCATTCACGGTGTGTTATATTTTTACCAGGCCGTGTGGGCAATTCAGTTTGGCTGGAGTGCGGTACTGTGGGGCCCTGGATCGAATCGGCGTTCGGACATAGATATTTGTAAATGTATAGTGGGTTGGGTTGGTAGAGCGACCTTGGATGAAACCCCGCCCACTCAAAAATAAAAGCAAAAATAAAAATAAAAAAAATAAAATAAAATAAAATAAAATAAAATAAAATAAAATAAAATCAAATCAAATCAAATCAAATCAAATCAAATCAAATCAAATCAAATCAAATCAAATCAAATCAAATCAAATAAAATAAAATAAAATAAAATAAAATAAAATAAAATAAAATATTTAATATGCTACCTTTTTAGATTAAAATATACAAGGTGTTCCACTAAACACATGAGGTTAGGTCCGATATGTTTTTTCCTGATTCCGTATACTTATCTTGAATATACAACGGCCGTGAAAGGCTGTCATTGGAAAAACGAAGCTTATACACACGTTCTTCTCCAACACAAGGAAGATCTTATATAAACAAACCATCTGCAAATATATGGCATACAATTATTGCCAACAAATTAGACAATAAAGTGTCATCAAAAGCACACTACACTTGTGTGAAAGTGAAAGCTATAATATTAAAAACGTGCTGGGAGTTTTCACACAGTTCTTTTTTTGGTCAATTTTTTTACTATACATTCCGACACAAAGATAGCATTAACCCATACGCGACATTAACATTATACTTAGTTTCATCAGTATAGCGACAAAAGTGTGCAAGGTTTCCAGAAGATCTAAAAATTGAGATAACCTTCAAAGACAATGCTTTGCTGGCAAACTTTTTACCACACAAACCGACACAAACGTAGCATTAACCAATCTATTTAGTTTCGAAATTTGTGCCGACAAAAGTGTGCGAAGTTATAGCAAACATCTACAGACATCTAAAAATCGAAATAATTTCCAAAGGGTATATATTTTACCGGTAAACTTAATACAGCACAAACCGGCACAAACGGAATTTGTGTAATATGTATCGATATTCTTTTATCGACTGAAGAAGGAGAATCCGACGAATTCAAAGAAGCCGACGTTGATCCGGAAATAGGGATAAAACGTATTCCCGCCAGGTCCGTCAGGCCTGCATAAATAGAGAATCTAATGTTTCTTAAAACTAATTGATTGTAGACTAATTGATTAATCAATTTGATTAATTAATTAAATGATGAATTATTTGGATAAAATATACTGGTTATTAAAAATTTCTACTTTCCCTCGTAAGGGCTAACTTTACTGAAAATGTGATAACTACATTTTTTGTAGGAAGTTTTCGTCTCTTTAATATTGCTTACTACACATTTTCTCGTAAAATGCACAGTTTTGGAGATATCGGCGGAAAACCGCTTTTGACGGCCATCTTGGTAAGATGGCGGCCCCGGCGACCAGTTTCGAATTGTGCATTTTATGAATTTTAGTTCTACGCACTCAAGAATACAAAATTTCAGTACTTCCCGAGTTATTTCCAGGTAAAAATCCTCAATGACTGGCCTATTAGCGGAACTTCCAAAAATCGAAATAATTTCCAAACGGTATGTTTTGCTGGCAAACTTTTTACCGCACAAACCGGCACAAAGGAAGCAATAATAATAATAATAATAATAATAATAATAATAATAATAATAATAATAATAATAATAATAATAATAATAATAATAATAATAATAATAATCTTCTTTCCTGATAGCGTTGACTATTGGGGCCATTAATAGCTATGTTGGTAAGTATGAATTACATACTATCTCTAGATTTCCAATGTGAGTGTGTGAATATTTATTTTATTTTTTATTTTTCTTTAGAACCCTACATAACTTCACCAGACACAGACACAGACACAGACACTAATCGTTACTTGATTTTAATCCGTGCGATTAGTTAACCAGGCTAGACCTGAGTTCTCACAAGAAACACCGACAATAATAATAATAATATCTATGAAATCTACTGTTATAGTTCCCATTATTCTTAGTGCTACTGGAGTTATACCAAAGACAATACACCACAATTTACAACTATTAGGTTTGGACAAAAACACATACAAACATTTACAAAAAGCAGTCATTATCAACACATGCCATATTGTTCGTAAATTTCTAAACATAACACAAGATACTACATACACAAATGATCCACAACGTATACATGTAAACAACAGTATACTCGCTCACAACACGGTACACAACATACTGTAATATCTCCACCTCTAACCCAAACAAACACACAAATACAACTTACCGAGCAAACAAGTACAACAAATGATACAATATATACTACAATCAGAGATTCACCTCTGAAGCAAACCACATTATCACGACCCATTAGTATTCAACCCAAACGCAAAAGCCTAAACAGCACTTTAGACTCACAACATGACACACAACATACTGTAATATCTCCACCCTTAACTCAACCAACCACACAAACACAACTTCCTGAACAAACAAACGCAATAAATACAAGTAACGCAACATGCACTACAAAGACGCCCTTACTCAATAAAGTTACACGGCCTAGCACAGCTAAAAAACACAATACTCTTTCTTCTCAGAAACACACCACGTTATCACAACCCACTCGTACTCAACCCAAACGCAAAAACCTAAACAGCACTACTAGCTCACAAAATACTGTAATATCTCCACGAATAACCCAAGCAACCACACAAATACAACCTCAAGAACAAAGAAACACAAGAAATACAAGTAACGCAACATGCACTACAAAAACAGGTCCACCCAATAAAATTACACGTCTTAGCACAGTTAAAAAACACAATACTCCTCTTTCTCAGAAACAACCCACTCGTATTCAACCGAAACGCAACAACCTTAAAAGCACTACAGGCTCACAAAATACTGTAATGTCTCCACCAATAACCCAAGCAACAACACAGATACAACCTCAAGAACAAAGAAACACAATAAATACAAGTAACGCAACATGCACTACAAAGACAGGTCCACCCAATAAAGTTACACGCCCTAGCACAGTTAAAAAACACATAACTCATTCTTCACAGAAACACACCACGTTATCACAACCCACTCGTACTCAACCCAAACGCAAAAACCTAAACAGCACTACTAGCTCACAAAATACAGTAATACCTCCACCAATAACCCAAGCAATAACACAAATACAACCTCAAGAACAAAGAAACACCATAAATACAAGTAAGGCAACATGTACCACAAAGACAGGTCCACCCAATAAAGTTACACGTCCTAGCACAGTTAAAAAACACAAAACTCCATCCTCACCGAAGAACACCACGTTATCACAACCCACTCGTATTCAACCCAAACGCAAAGCCAAAGAAACACTTACACAATAAACTCCATTTAATAAAATTACAGGAATTATTATAATGATTTTTGTTTTGTTTTGTTTTCCTCTTTCCTGATAGCGTTGGCTTATTGTGCCCATGTGTGATTTTTTTTTTTTTTTAGGACCCTACATAACTTCACCAGACACAGACACAGACACTGATCGTTACTTGATTTTAATCCGTGCGATTAGTTAACCAGGCTAGACCTGAGTTCTCACAAGAAACACCGACCATAATAATAACTAACCCCTGTGGGTTCGGGGATAGAATAGGCCCACTCTCGCCCTAGAGATCGTAAAAGGCGATCAATGGGCACTAAAGGTGACCAGTCCAACCACCTTTAGTACTTACCTACCCACATTACTTTCCAACTCCCACGTCCATGTTCCCTACTTTCCTACATTATACACAACACGCAGGTGGATATTTGCTTACGCGAATATCTTGAAGAGTGACGCCTTCACGTGTTCCTAGTCACCCCATATTCTTATGAAAATGGAGTTTAAACAAAGCCTCGGAAAAATGCCGCTACCTGAGGAGCGTCAGGGCACGTCTGGAGCTATCGCTGGGCGTTGCAGCATGCGAGCCGATAGTGACGAGTTGGTGAACAGGCGGCCGCTCGTCGGGATACCCGAAACCTCTACAGCCGAAAGAAGACTACGAAGAGGACAACGACCACCTGAAGAGGACCGCCATGAAGAGACCTTTGTGCCTGCTTCTCAACCGCTTGTGGATGGGACCAGCGCAAAGGATACCTCCAAAAGACGTATGAAATGGGACGAAGGGATGAATCGCTTCATTTTCG